GTTTTCTTGTATTTTATCGCTCTGCTGACCCTTGGGGTCCATTTTATTTTGGTATACCTTTTCTAGGTACGTTAGCCTGTGACCACGGAAATTGGCCGAGTCAAGTGATGGATTAGTACGGAGAGATTTAGACAGAAGGAGGTACTGGATAGAGAGACCGGGATGGTTTTTAATGTGAAGACAACAACAACAACAACAACAATACTTACTGAAATACTGGAAAGTACGTTTAGTACGTACTGTACTAAGGGAAGCGTAGCTAGCATGCTTTCAGACATGCGGGGAACAAAATGAAAGATATTTTCACCATCCCCGGAGACTTGGTAACATCGGACCCCCTCCATGCCTCCTCTCGTTCTTGGACCACCGAGTGAGGTGTAAATTAGCCAGACTCTAATTTTTCATAGAATACTCCCTGGTTAAAATTATGCAACTATCACTTGGTCATCTGCAGGCAACTACGGATGGGTATATATCGATCATGGGGTTATGCATTGTCTAGGGGTCTAGCCCAAGCCTTTGTGTATCATGTTGACTCATTCATGGCTGGTCGTCTGTCAAGGACTCGTCAACAACCTCAGTCTCCCGCAGTCAGTATGTCAGTATCACGGCGTACTGCTTTATGTATATAACGACAACGAGAGCTGCACGGCAGACCTTGACACATTTTAATTCCATCCATCGCACCTCTTCCTGCAGATCCACACCGCCTGCTTTCAAAGCATCGGAGCCCCGATCAAACAGCACAACGTTCCATGACCGTATGGTCGGGCCCGCGATTCTGTCCTCGTCAAAAGCTTCAAATAGATCAACCTTGAATCCGCGGTCCTGGGAGAGGTACAAGGCCATTAGCGCGCCTGCAGGCCCTCCTCCCACAATGACAGCTTGTTGTTTTGAGCCTGCCGGTTGGTTGGAACTTGAAGCCATTTTGAGCTGGTGCCTGGTGTCCATCTTTGTGTTTGTAGAAAGAGCCGGCGACAACAAGGCACGCGAAGTTGCGGCGCATACAAGCATAAGGATCAACGTCAGTCCATGAGTCCCGCCCATGCTGAACGAAGGGCTAGTTCTCATGTTCTTGGGGTTTTGCCGTTCTGCGACAATTCAACTTCAGCAGGTTTACCAACACCAAATGGTTGCTTACGGGGTGCTACACACTGCTAACCGGTAGGAAGGTGGGGGGTTTACCAGCCCCGCGTACCATCTCGTGCGTCTATTATAGTTGGTGCGTAAGCTCACGTTGCTGCCGCTTAGCTAGTCGATATGCAGAGGGATCCAGCGATCCGATTGGCTAGAAGCGACAGGACAGCGGGACAAATACAGAAAGGACGAAAGGACCCACGGGAGTAGGGCGATAGGAGAGAGAGCGCCGACTACTACACAACACTACGCGAATCAGCAACGCAGCATGTCAGTGTTTTGGAAACCAGGCACTTCTGGTCCTGGAGGGCTTGAACGTGGAGACGAGTCGGAGTCGCTTCACATCGTGGATCCCAAGCTCTCGAAGTTGCCCTTGCAAACTCAACGACATGCCCTACCCATTTATCGACATCGCAACAGCGTCTTGTTCGCCGTCCAGAAACACCGAGCTATCGTGCTCGTCGGCGAGACGGGATGCGGTAAAACCACACAGGTTAGACCACACAAGGGGGTGCAGAGCAACGGAACATGTTCACGTTTTGGCAACTGGACCAACTACGAAATGCAGCTGCCACCGATCGCGATGGTGTCCGCATTGCGCCAGGTCTGTTGCTCTGTACAACGGCTGCCTGCCCTAGTAGCTCATGGGCGGGTACTTCCGGACACTGATCGACCAGTGTACCTCGCCGCTATGTGAGCCAATAGAACCAAACTCTGGTCGCGACGTTTGTGCTGACATTCGTTTGTTTGTGTTGATTAACTGTTGTAGTTACAGCGTGCGTACATTCCAGCACAGCCAGGAGGGTCGTTTTGCGCCGCCGTGTCTTGGACCGGCGGTCGAGGCTCGGGCGTCGGCCGCGAACGGTGGCGGATGAGTTTAAAGAGGTAGTGGCCCTAGGGTTTCAGCTTGGATTCGTTACATTTGATACCAGCCTCCCTCTCCTTTCTGTGTACTGTAAGCGCCGACTACGGGACTAAACCGCTTTGGTAGTCTTGGGTTGGATTGCAGCACATGCTTGCCCCGACGACGTCGGTGTTGTATAAGTGAACAGCAGCGACTTCAGGGCTCCAGGGGAGTTTATGCCACAGCGCACAGCGCCCCGTGTAATGCACAAAACCGACTCTGTCTAACGACACCTGGACGCAGATCCCACAGTACCTGCATGAAGCGGGGTGGACAGCGGGGAATCGCGCTGTGGTCTGTACCCAACCACGACGGGTGGCGGCTTTCACCGTGGCAACTCGCGTGGCAGAGGAGATGGGGTCGCGCTTAGGGGAAACAGTGGGATACTCTGTTCGTTTCGACTCAAGGTACCAGAGTGGCATAGTGTTTCATTGAGCTTCGATCTTGGTGCTTATATTCCCCGGTGTGCTCCAAGCTCAGGGCCCGTTTTGTGTCGGCGACTTTTTTGTGACCCAGTTTGGCCGTGTGGGAGTCCCACAGCCCTTCATGTTTTGTTCAAAACGGAGGGCTATCCCATCTCTGAAGTTCAAAACAACTGCCTTGCTTGAGAAGAATTGAGCAGCGCACAGTCTAGTTGAAAAGAAAACAGGCGAGCGTGTTAGAAAAGTTTGAAGATGAGAATATCACGTGCTCGAAACCGCCATCCGAACAGTGTACCACGCGTATCTACACCAAGACAGTGTCGCTATAGCCATCTCGGGTGTCGTTTGCAGGGTCGGTCCGGCGACCAAAGTCAAGTTCTGCACGGACGGAATGTTGTTGAGGGAGATGATGCTGGACCCGCTGCTGACGGCCTACAGCGTGGTGATGCTCGATGAAGCGCATGAGAGGACGATCTACAACGACATCTTGTTCGGCCTCCTCAAGAAGATCATGCGGAAGAGAAAGGTACGCACAACACCCAACATGTTAACTCCCACGACACCGACCACTAGTTGGTACGTGGACAAAATCACTGGAGGACGAACAGCTTGCACTTGTGCCTTTTTGTGATGCGCATGCGGCACAGCCACAGTACAGCAGTATTGTTTAGGTCCACGTGAATCAACCCGCTGCCCTCTGGTGAATATTACAGGAACTTCGCGTCATTGTGGCATCAGCTACTCTGGACGCTGAGCAATTCCGAGATTTCTTCGAGACCAACACGTGAGCGTTGACAATGTAATGTATCACGTACGGTAGGGCACTTCGTTTTTCTTTCATTGCTGCTGCCACCATCCCCCGTAGGTCATTGACTTGCAGCAAGCATTCGCAGCTCTTGCATCCCTTGGTGGCGGGTCGGCATGTGGCGGCCGCAGAACGCTATCTTGCTGTGCTTTTTGCGCTCTGGGTCATGCCCAGTGCATCGGACGGCTTGGTTTTGTTGTGCCTGTCCACGCAGGAGCAAGAACGCTAACGCGAATACCGCGACAATACTGTCGATACAAGGACGTCAGCACCCTGTAGACGTGCTCTATACGGAAAAGCCGGTCTCCAACTACGTCCGGGCCGCCGTAGACGCCGCACTCGCCGTTCATTCCTCTGAGCCGGTGGGCGATGTGCTGATATTCTTGCCCGGGGCGGAGGAGATCGACGCTGCGGTGGAAATGTTACGGGATCATGCGCCACAATCGGCAACTTCGGGAAAGTGGGGGGGGTGGGGGGGCTCGACGGCAAAGGTGGTTGGAGAGGGAGGTCCGTTGCAAGTGTTACCGTTCTATTCGGCGTTACCAATAAACACGCAAATGAAGGTGTTCGAGCCCACCAGGCAAGGGGTGCGGCGGATAGTGGTGGCTACTACCATAGCGGAGACTTCCGTCACGATAGACCGTATTCGATACGTCATCGACCCCGGGTTCATCCGTCTTCCGTTCTACGACCCAGCGCAAGGGTTTGGGGCGTTGTTGACAACTCTGACGTCGAAGGCATCGGCGAAGCAGCGCGCTGGGCGGGCGGGACGAGTTGCGCCTGGAAAATGCTTGCGCCTGATGACAGAAGACGATTACCATGCCCAGCTTCCCACTCACACCATTCCAGAGATGCAACGGTCGGACCTCAGCTGGGTTGTGCTGTTGTTGAAGGCCTTGGGCATTGACGACATCCTCCACTTCGAGTTTCTGTCGCCTCCAGCAGCGGAGACGATGATCCGAGCCCTGGAGTTGCTGTACGCTCTAGGGGCCCTTGACGACTCTTGCCGGTTAACCGAGCCCCTCGGGATGACCATGGCCGAGTTCCCTGTGGAACCGTGCTTGGCAAAATTCTTGGCGTCAGCTTGGGACTTCGGCTGTGTTGAGGTGAGGTACAAATGTGTCTCGCTCTCCGTATGCTGTTCGTACGCCATGTACACTTCCGAATGATCACCACAAGTTTAAAGACTTCGGCTGTGTTGAGGTGAGGTTCAAATGTGTCTCGCTCTTCGCATGCTGTTAGTATGCCATGTGCACTTCCGAATGATTACCACAAGTTTAATGGTGCTACTTGGAGACTACTTCGGGCAGTAGCGTGAACCCTATCACACGCTCAACCTTGAAGAAATGATGTGTATTTGGCCTGCGTTGTGGTCTGTCCCCTTCGGAACAGGACGCCCTTACCGTAGCCGCCATGCTGTCGGTCCAAAATCCGTTTGTCTACCCTCGCGGCGGGGGGCGCGAGCGCCGAGAGCGTGTTCGAGCGGCGATGGAGGAGTTCGCCGTGACGGAGGGAGACCACATCACGTACCTCAATGTTTTCAATTCTTTCGACGAGACTAGCAACGATTCTGAGTGGTGCAAGGAGAACTGCCTCAATCATAGGGCCCTGGTTAGGGCCGGAGAAATTCGCCAGCAGCTCTCCAGGTGTGGTGAACGTATCGACGTTGGGAGGGGAACGTTTCGGACAGTGTCCCCTTCTATCCATCGCACCATCCCTTCCTAAGCTGTGCTGGTTCATGGCGTATGGTGAAAAGTAAAGGTCTTTCGTCTGTGGATTAGGGCTTGACACAGTTTTTCTATTGCAAACCCTGATCCCCTTGCCGCCGATGCACAGGTACTGCAAGAAGTTTGCACCTCCTGGTCGGCAGGGGTCAAGTTGTGGCGACGACGTCAACGCGTTACGCAGGTGATATCCGGGTGGACGTGTTTTGAGTTTCATCAAATATTATCAATTAAACAAGAAATGGTTTGATGTTATATGCTGCAACCGTGATACTCCCTGTCGGGTCCGCCATTCAAAACAGCTCCTTGCGAAAGTTCAGTGTGAGACACGGTGAGCCGCTGAAAACAATGTTTGGTGCGGATGTGCCAATCCTGTTGCGAATCTTCGGCGGTTGACAGGTGCTTGGTTGCCGGGTTCTTCGCCAACGTAGCTAAGCTCTCTCCAGATGGTCGGTATCGTACTGTTCGCGACAGCACGGTGGTCGCCATCCACCCGTCTTCGGTCCTAGCGCATTTCGGGTCCCCTCCTGAGTGGATCCTCTTCAACGAAATCAGCAGGACGTCGCAGCTGTTCGCGCGAGACGTCAGCGTGGTCGATCCGAGGTAAACATCTTGGTTTCCCCCCAATAACTAGCTGGAGTGCCCGGCGAGGGTGTTTTTTTTTCTTTTTTTGCTCAAGTCGTACGTCGTGGTGCAGAGGGCTTGTTCGTGAGTATGCTTGAAGTACGGACGGTTGGAGAGTTCTCTCGTCAAAACTTCTGATGCGTGCACCGCAGAGGGAATCTTCTGTGTTGCCGCGGATCAGAGTTCTCCAGTTCGAAGGCGAGGCCGTAGGGTAAGTTAGAACCTGCGAGCGACCGTAGAGTGTAGACGACGAAAACGCTCAGACGAATGAAGTCGTCCTGGTCATGGTTTTTGTGCGAGTTACGTTTGGGTGCTCCACAGCATGTGGTTCGTCCCTTCAGTTCACTGGTCATTTACACATGTGTCACGATGCTCGAAATCATCGACCATGGGTAGAGTGCTCGCACCCAAAAATGTTATCACGGTTGTTAGATGTGGTAATCACGTGGTCAGTCACGCGAGATGAACATTATTTGGTCGTGCCTTCGGCCAACGCATGAAATGCCGTTCTGCAGCAGCAATAGGCATGCGCAGCAGGTTGCATGTTATTCATCGTCGACGCGTCAACGTCAAACCTTCGGGGCTTGATATTCACTCACATCGATCTTATAGCGTGCGTCGTGGTTGGCTGTGCGGTGGTCTAGCCAAGGGCCAGCCAGAAGTGTTGCTCGTGACACGAATTATTTTCGCTACTATTCGGTTCCTTTTCCAAAGCGGACAAATATCGACGAAACGTTTTCTCAACATCTCATGTCGCGTGCGATGCGGGCTCAGTTCAACCCACCACTTAGTGGATGATGTGGTCGGGTGTGGTGCACCTTCCAAACTACCCTGCTCCCAACAAGACTTGACTTACGTACATCCATTTCGAAGCTCGCAAGCCAACATTGTTGACAACATCGTTTCCCCATAATCCCGGGTGTAGGTTGTTCACCAAAAGTTAAAAGTTCCGTCTATGGCATTTGTTTTTTTTGCAGGTGGTTGATTGAGCTCGCGCCGCATTTCTACGAGTTCCGAGGTGCAGGAGGCTCCGGCGGGGCACCGCGGCTTGGCACCAAGAAGCGGCTGGGCCCCGAAAGACCTACTGCTCACAACTTGGAAGAGAGCGATCCGCGGCCAATGAAAAGCGTTCGCCTTGGCGATGCAGAGTAGAGGCTACCGCGAGAACTCGATAGTAGACAATGCAGTGTTGTAAGGGTTGCATTCAGATCGACGAGTTAGTTGTACCCAGTTGAACCATTTTCAGCTTGATGCACTTGCGGGTGCACTAGACCGTGTCACGACAGCAAACCCACTCGCGAAGATAGGGATTGACTCCGCAACCTACGCGAGGGTTGCACGGAGAATGCTCTAGTCACATGAACGTTGATATCTACAACTCCTGTGGTACCGGTTGCGGCTCGCCACGCGTCAACTTTGTTACGATGTTTGAAACGCTTAGTTGGCGATCACTTGTGGGCTGTACAACTAGGACGAGATCTGCTCGTTTTTTTTCCTCCTGCAATTGGTCCCAAACAGGCCCATCTACCCGATCAAAGTGAGATTCAGCGGAATCCCTAGATCGGCCGTTGGCCACTTTCCTCCCCACAACTCTATCGAAGCAAACGAAGCGCGAAATGTCGAGGAATACTGTGCGGTGTAGAGCGGCCGAGATTTCCTTCCATAGACCTTCTTGATGAAGAAGGTGGAGTCCTGTCAAGTGCCAAGCGGAAACGACGACAAAAGACGATGTCGTTAGCCCGGAGCGTTGGGAAATGTAATGTTGAACTACTATGATCCCTCCCGGTTGGTTGGATTGGAACTACAGTAACTCTATTTCAACGGGAAGAAGGCGCGACTCTCGAATGTCACGACGTAAAGTGAGCTGAGACAAACAATACCATGTACTATTTTCCCCCCTAGTACACATCTTCAACCCGTGCATACCTTCGACAAGGACGACACGGCAATCGGGTGCTACCGTCACACTGTCCGGCACGGGGTCGTGGAGGTCTCTGCTATATGCTGGGAGCTTTATGCTCTCCTTGCTTGGGGTACGCAAACGGCCCAGATCTCGCAGGAGCGATGCACAGTCCAATGTCTTCGGGAGACCTTTGATATCCTTGAGGGTGCAAGCACGCCCGAGGTACTCCGTCATTTCTGCGGCAAGGTGCGCGTTGGGATAGCTGTATGCATCCATACTTATGCATTGAATAGATGAAGCGCCCCAAATGATGCCGTAAGCTGCGCAGAGTAACTGGGCCAGCGTCGACTTGCCCGCAGCTGCAGATCCGCACAAACCCACCAACACTCGCTCTCCTGTACATTGAGACGAGCGCATGGCGAATGTAACCATCATTCAACCAATGAGAACGAACGACGCAACTGCTCCTGTGACTCGGTACTATCTTGTGCAGATGCAGTGGTTGCGACAGTGTCAATCCTTTTTTGGTGCATAAGACACAGACAGCACAATGATACTCGTGCCCACCGCCGGAGACAAAATTAGCCCTGGTTGAAGGGCGAGTATATAGCGGATTGTATGTTTTCAGATCTATTCCGACAACTTGGTTACTTTGGTTGATTGTTGTGGATGCCTTTGATCATGATGAGTTCCGACAAACATGTAAGGCCTTCGCACCTATGTCAATCTCTCAAAAGATAAGAACGTAATCAGCTCCCACAGCAATAGCGCCGAACATGAGTCGTACGCCTCACAAAAAGGAGAGGATCAGATTATTGAAAAAACAACAAAGATGACGGAAGACACAAGACGCCGCAGCGCTGCCGGGCCCCACACTTTTAACCTACTGGTATAGACTATGGTACAATAACAATGGCCTGTGCTCAATCATCAAGGCTACACGCCTCGCTCAGGAGCAAGTTTGTGTAGATATAGCCGATGCACACTTCTGTTTATTGAAACCGTCGGATTGCCAGAGGCTTTTTCATTTCTGTATTCTGGGTTGCCAGATTTGGAAGAGGACCGTTTGGAGTGATTACTCTCTGGGAGAATCCACGTGCAAGGAGAAGGAAGTGGGCAACGTAGAACAGGAGAGCTACACAGCAGCAGGTGAACTGAGAGAAAGGAATACTAAGGATTGGCCAGGTATGGGGGCCAAGAAGTTGTGTACTTTCGCGTTCTTGGCGTACAGGAGGAGGTTAATGGCACGCAATCGGGGTACAGAGCACACGGCGGAGCGATGGTTATGCGACGCTGCCCGATTACGTACCACTATCCTTGTTCCGCAGCGGTCGTGAAGTCAGAGTGTTCAAGCATGGTCAGGCTCTGCGAGCATTTTTGAGAGATTGCTACGACGTCGGGGCAAGAACAAAGGACGTTGTCTTGCACCCTCTTCGGGGTGGAAGGGCGCCTGCCCTTGTTGTTGGGAGGTCTCGGAACGAGTAGTTCAGAGGACAGGGAGGTGGAAGTCAGATTCGTACAAGCCACAACCAGGTAGCCGGGAAGGTTCGCGACTTGTGCGTCACGTAGTGGGCGACAAGGAAAAAGGAGTGGTGAGACAGCAGTGGGAAACATGGTGTAGAGTAGTGGGACGAAGATACTCTGTCCTACTGTAGCGATACTCTCATGACGACCTCGGATTGAGAAAAGTGAACGGTAGAGTACCCGTTGGGGGACTTGGTTGTCTGAGGTGTAACGTACAGTGGGAAGAGTTCCGCACACCGGTGGCAAGAGAGCAACCCCGGCTGTATTCTTAGGGGAGAGGGAGAGACGGTAGTACTGATGGACAGAGACACGGTGGGATAGGCGCAGATAGTGTCTGCGGGAAACATGCTGTAACAGCGTGGTTTCTCTCTCTTCCCCTCGCGTTAAAACATTACGTATGTAGAAAAGTGCAAAATGACAATTCGCAAGCAAAATAACATACGGATACAGCAGTAGGTGCTTCCTACGAGCGGGCCTGCACTATATACGGCTATTGTTCGCACTTCACAGACCCGCGTGACAAAGAAACACAAACGTGGGGATTGCATGCAGACAGAGAGAGAGGGGAGTGCGGGTCTGGAAGCAACAGAAGGCATCCACCAATGTTCTCTACCAAGACACATTCGATGGGAACATAAGGCAATTACTTGTCGGTGTGTACGTCATTCGTCGATATCTTGCCCACCTTCCCCAGTGAGACCTTGGGTGATTCCTTTGAGCCAGGCGCACAGCGGTAGAATCACCTCAGCGAGGTCAGCTTCATTCACCCGCAAGATCTCTTTGCGACAATCACGCTCGATCGGCAAACCTCCAGCCAACTCAACCGCCTCCTTGATACGATCAACATGACTAGACTCAAGGGGCGGCATCTCACTGACTCCGGTCTGAGCCTCGAGGGTCGCCAATGCATCTAAGAGGGCCATGCAGCTGATGGTTTGGTATCAAGCCCTCTCGCGTGCCTTTTCTTCACACACTACCACGCGCGTGTAGCAACGCGTCAAATCAGTGAAATGCATCAGTCTTGATGCAGCAGTGCTATTGGCCAAGAGTGACATTCCGGAAACAAGACAACGCCTCTTCGCATTCTCTCGCAGAAAACCAATATTATGCCCTTGGCTAGGAGTCAACACGTCGTAACAAAGCAAATGACCTAGCTTGCGTCCCCATGGTAGCCGTGACTGGGCGAGATGCCAGCATTGTGGCTTTGTTCTCCTACCTGCTGTTGTTGTGCGCCTTTCCTGCATACGTGGGCCGAATGACGAGCATGGCGGTCTGGTCGGCAGCAGGTGAGGAACATGCATGATACGATAATTCATGGTTTTGCCTGGAGACTACAACACGCCTGTAGGCAAAAAGTGATACACTCTCGGCTCGTAGCCACCCTGATGGATCACAGTGTGTGTAGAAGTAGGGGTTTCCGGAAACGGACCCTTCGCCAGGCGCTGCCGGCCTCCGTTGTCCTCTCGTCTTCCACCTATCCCCAAGACCGAAATGGTAGAGAAGGTGACTATGAGTGCCTGGGCGGAGATGGAGGCCGCTAGGAAGAGGGCGTCGGAAACGTGCGGACGTACGGCTTTGGGGGTGACAACCGTGGTGGCGGGGGCAGGAAAACTGGGGATAGGTGGAAGACGAGAGGACAACGGAGGCCGGCAGCGCCTGGCGAAGGGTCCGTTTCCGGAAACCCCTACTTCTACACACACTGTGATCCATCAGGGTGGCTACGAGCCGAGTACATTTAGCTAGACTGCAAGATCTCATGTAAGCAGATCATAACTTGTCTGGTGATGGTTCCAAGTTTAACGTTTCGTGAGTGGCCTGTTGTGCACATGTTCACGTCAAGGTGTGCCAATCTCTACCTCGGGTAACGCCGGGTCTTTCTTTCTCTTCGAGACCCAACAAACCTCCTAAAATCACATCCCCCTAAAATGTACGCACAAGGACGCGAAGGTAAACACAATTTTTGTCACGTGCGGCAGGGAGAGTACAGGGAAGAGGAGCCCCCTTATGTGGAAACCCAGAGGGCTGGGGATATGGGTTCACGTAAGGATGGCGAACAGAGGTGACGACAGAGAAAATATTACATCTATATCAGCACTGACAGCGAACAGCAGCAAGTACCACTAATTGGGATATCCCTGGCTCGAGGACAGTCAATTCGTAGGGGGAGGAGCTGCACCAAAGGCGAAACGATCAAGGGACAACAGCCTCACCCACGCGGGAGGGTGATCCTAGGAAACGGCTCAATCAACCATTCGATCATGAGAGCGTTTCGGATTTTTTGGGGGGTCAGGAAAATGGCCCCAACAAACCGAGGGTCAGATTTAATATGTAGCCGGTTTCCAAGCGGAAACGCTTTTTTTTTGTCTGAGACTGCCCCACTTTCTACCCACCGCTCAGATAAACATCACAACCTTCAACATGTCTGAGGCATGGGTTTCAGCTGCCTCAGATTCTCAGGGGAAGTAGAGTAATTAAAGAAAAGTCACAAAATAATAAAGTGATCTCATCGCAGGGTAGAAACTCGTCCAAGCCTCATGTCGCCACCACTGGACAGACCTGCTCCTCCGATGCGGGAATGTGTGTGTCACACGTGTATCTATGTGGCGATGAACAACGCTCGTTGTGGAACCGACAAGGAAAGGTGGGATGAGACAGCTTCACCAGCTGTCAAAGTAGAGCAATTCTTGCCTACAACCAATTCAGGAGAACACACAGACCATGAGCTGAAGGTCACTCGAACTGCTGAGAGGTGGCCCAAAAATTGCCTTGTGTTACTTTTTATCGGCGCCACCTCCTTTACACAGTTGTTACGGTTTGGAATGTTGCTTACAAAATGGTTGTGTGAATGAATCTTCTACATAGGTTGAAGCTGCTACTGTCTCTGCGGCTGCTACAGCTAGCTGCTGCTGAACCGCCGCCTCTCTCTCCCGCTTGATTGGAACAAGAAGCGCTTACAAGAAGCCTTTGGGTGTTTCTCTGCGATGGCAATACCCACCGCTAGAAGCTCCTGGCACCTTGGATAATGTTGGACAGCAGCAGCCCAAACAAGCAGCAACCTATTATATTTCTAGTGTAGAACAGGGAATCAGCAGCGTGGGAACGACGCGCGTTAATCTTTCGGCCAATCAGTACAGGGCAATTGCCATGTCATGTCGAAAATACATCTGAACCTCTTTTCGTATCTTGTAAACGCCAATTTTGTCTGGGCAAGTTTGTCTGGGCATTTTTGCGTGGGCAAAACGGAACGTTTTTCCGAAACTCCCCAATTGTCCTATATCGCACAATTTTAGAGAAAAATCAAGTAGTTTCAGGCGATCGATCGCATGTTTTGAATCGATATCGGAGCTGATGGAGTCACGCACACCAATACCGATTACGTCAAATTGCATACCACAACATAGGGACCCTCCCCAAGGGGCCCTCCAAGTGGAAATCATGGAACACCCAAATGTTACTGGTCAATCTTGGTCACAAAGGGGGGGGATCTATTGTATACCAGGATTTAGTGTGGTATGCTTAAACCTAATACTGGTAATTATATGAGATTCAATGTGACGTACTAAAATCTAATTTTGCCTTATTGTTCAGGAATTAGTATAGAATACTATAAACCCCGGTAAGTATCGGGTTTTAGAAGGCGACACAAAAGCCTATAGGATACAAGATGGTCATACAAATTATATGGATTTTAGGACGCGATGCTAAAGCCTACTCCTCCACACCAAAGCCTACACAATAAAGAGCACTGTATGGTTTTTAGAATGAGACACGAAAGACTATGCAATGAAGAGTATATTGGTTTTACTATGGACGCACTAAATCCTATGCAGTAGACTGCTGCAAGTGAGCCGCGCAAAGTGCCTTTACTGCGTGTCAAATCTTGGTCCGCATGGAGGGCCCCTTGCCCTCTCGCGTTTTACAGCACAGCATCGAAGCAGCACCATTCATCGATGGCATTCCGCGCTATCTAAGCTTTCTCTCTCCCCCTCGCTCGCTCTCTCTCGCACCGGGTCCACGGTTGGTTACGCACTGAGGGTTGGCTACCCGCCATTGGTCTTTTTTTATCTTGGACCGGTCTGGTAAGGACATCCGCTCCAGACAGTTAGGGCCTTGTTGAAACAGCAGTGTGTGCATGACGCTATGCCCACGGCTGATGAACGTGCGTGTGTTGCGTGGGTTTTTTTTTTTTTCTTTCTGTTGGAATCTCGACGTGGTTTACTCTGTTACAGTTGGCGAAGGCATGGCCACGATCTTTCCCACACTAAACTACACGGAGCTTGTTTCTGAGAGAAGAAATATATGGGTTATATGTCTCCAACTTCAACAGGTGTGGCCGGATGGAGCTGGGGGTTTACCGTTTCCGGCCGGCTTCGAACACGAGATCCTGTTGAAGACAATGTGAGTACGTTGCTTTTAGCAGTACGATTGATAACAAACATGCTGAAACGTGTATGTCCAAGGTATGTTGCTGGGGTAGGACAACGTATGGAGCACCACCACGGTGAGTGCAGCATGCGCTCAAGAGTCATGTACGGTAGCCAAGTAGCCTTGGTACGCTGTTGGTTCTGCTGCAATTCTTGAACATGTGCCGGAGCAGAAACGGGGGGCGGACGGGTTTTGGTAGCGTATTTCCACTAGTCCGTTGCAAGCCCGGCCTTATCGAGTTTGTGATCCTCTTCTCCGGACTGCTGTGTGGGTCGGCAGCTTTTATGAACGAGTCCCCTCAAGGTGCTGATATACAGCAGCAGAACCTTCGCATTTTTTTATCTATGACCTTCTCTCCACTTCAATTAAACTAATGTGTATCACCTTGTTTCCCAGCATTAACTTGCAACAATTTGCGGGCGCCCTGGGAGTGCCGCTGGCGCCAGCGACATGGACTCTGTAGCGACATGCAGAACTTTCTATGCCCCTTATTTCCTGCAGTGGGATTTATCCACCCGCTCAATGTCTTGCCCTGATGGTACGCCCCTTACCAAGTTACATACCGCTGCATTTGATGATAGTTAGTGGCTGAATCGTTGCGAGAACTCCTTCCTACTGTAGTAATTTTATCGACCTTGAGCCAGCGCAAAGCTATTGGTGTGTTTGTAGCTGAAGCGGCGACCATGGGCCCCTACTTCTGAACGGCAGGGTTATGTGTCGTTGCAGGTGCGACGTACGGATCTCCATTAAGCCCCTAAGATTAGCGCGTGAGCTCAATCACGCTTGGTACACTATCGTTACATACACGCATGCTGTCAAGTTCTAAAAGCGCAGAAGCCCCATCTGGTTCGGGGGGAAAGAACCGATCGGCCCATGCTTACAAGGAGGTTCCGCACTTCATGTTTTAGCGAACTCTCTCTCCACACACAGATCATGCAATTGGAAGTCCTGAGGAACCATGTTTCAGTTTCCTGCCAGAGCTGGATCCACCGGCGAAGATGCATCTGCTGTGTTTCACATTGGGTCTAACCTTTGGGACACCCGTCATTCGCAGGTCCGTGTCGTCCGCCACCAGAGCTTCGTTATCTGGACTCTTTGCTGTGGGACGGCGGTTGTGGGCACAATGGAGGCCATGGTGGCGTCTTACGTGAGACCGTGGTGGCTTCAGATCATGGCGAACGCGGGATTCACTTTCCTTGCCTTCGTCGTTGGGTGCGGGATCTTCGGCCATTCACATGAATGGGTTTTGCGAGATCCCAACCTTGAGAAACCCCTGTTTCTGCTCGATGTTTGCGTGGTTAGCTGACGATGGAAGTGCTCAAGACTACGGTGTCAGCCGTATGGTATGTCATGTTCTTTTTGTTCTTTTGATGTTTGTGTTTTACCGTCTATCAAGAAATTCCGTGAGGATGTGGCGGTTTTCGCCGATTTTTTTGTGTGTGGTCCACGATGATCCAAAGAGATATTAATATGGACGAAGTTGGTGTGGAAGAGTGCATGCCCTGGTGTGCGCGTGGTTTATGTTACCTTGACCCCGCTCTATATGTGGTTGCAGCGCGACTGTGGGAGCTTAGAGGAGGTCCGTGTGGATGCAGATTGTATGGTGCAAAGGGTGCATGTGTATTTTTTTTGTCTTCATTTCAAATCAGTGGCTACAGCATTTGCACGGTTTACTCCAACCCGTGGTCACACTTACATTACATGAAGGTAAAACAGGATGAAAGAGTAGAGTGGTACGTATGCATGTGGACACATCTTTCTCGTTCCCTCTCTATGGGCGCCAGTATCCAACTTCCAGTATATGTTTGACGTACAAGCCGGGGTCACACAAGTGGGTTTCTCCCCCTTTCCTCCTGCGGTTCCTGCCTTCAATTCATAGCGCGAGACGAGTTCACCGGTCCCTTCCCTCTCTTTTGCGTTTACTCACGATTCTGTGATTCACCTCGTGCATTGCGAATGTTTCATTTTTCCTCACTTGCGTAATTCAATTGGGAGTTGGGGCTTTCACGTGAAGGTAGCCTTCCGCCAATCTTCTAAGGTAGCCGTCTGGCGAGTTCGTACTAACATTTATTGGATTATTCAACTGAGGTGTATCAACTGTACAATTTAGTCAAGAATCATATCAGCCATCCTTCTATTCAAGAAGAAATATATGGCGTGCTCTCTAGCTTGAAGTTCACTCTATCGTGGAGATCACCTTCATGTTGGGTGCTATCTCCCTATTGCCTGTCTGTCGAAGACGACTTTTTGCATTGCCGTCGACGAAGAGATGTCTGACTCTAGACGGAAGATATGCAACACGGGTGGATTCGATTCCCGCCGACTACCGTATGTTTCTTACTCGATTGTTTTCAACGATTTATTGAACACAGGGTCAAGCGCGACACATATGCCCTACTTTACCACCTTCCATTTTCGAGAGTGTCAAGTTAGAGATCGTAGCCCCGTCGGCGAAGGCGTGCACCAGATCGCTGACAAACGCATTCATTGGTTCCAAAACAACGGAAAGTCTCCTCCTGCTCTGCCGTTTTAGACTGTCTTGTGTGCATCTGCTTCTAAAATAATGCATCCAAAACAAGCTTTACTTTCAAATAAAGCGTCTCCCACAACCCATCAACTAGTGCAATTGCTTTACGTCCGAACCCTGAGCAGTCATACACTCAGAGCGGCACCCCACATTCGTACAGCGGCAAAAGACCAAGTTCAGCGTTCCGCACACCGGTTACAACAATGTTCAAGAACTATGGCGAGCCCGGCAATTCACTTGCGCGGGGCTTCCTGCTCTGTGAGTGTTTCGCTGTTGCTGAGCCGCTCGATCAAGGCTAGCTGTTCGCTCTCGATCCTCAAAAGAGACTGGTACTGAAGGTTCTGTCGATCCAGCTCCAGCATCTTTTCCCTGAGCAATGTCTGGAGAGAAGCTTTTTGTCGCAGACGATACTCTAGCTCCCCCTCGACCTGGCAAGCAAACGGGGGTCGTAGAGCGGTCATTCAGGGTGGGTATGTGTACCGTGACTCAGTTGGTAACCTTGCAAACCTTCTGAGTCGAGGGTGCGGTGTCGAATCTCTCCGAAGTGATGAAACCCGAAGTTTAGCAGTAGCAAGCGCACAATCGGTCGTGAGTAAGCGAACCAAGAGGGGAGGGCGGCTGAACCATCGCGTTAAAAGTTGAAGGCCAGTACCACAGGAGGTGGAGGGAAATATCCTGTGTTTTGCCTTCCTCTTTGGTGATCCCAGCCGGTGCGTCAAACGTATGTCCCGAAAGGTGTAGACTGGGAACCAAAAAAGATGGGACGGAAGCACACAACATGTGTGCCGTGCCGTATCGAGTGCTTTCCGGCCAAGACCCGGACAACCTCTCAAAAGAATATATGATAGAACTTACCATGGGGGCAATCAACTTTGACCTGTGTCCCTAGCCTAGACTTCTGTAGGCCATGGTTTGTATTTCTACAGATTCTCCCTGTATTGGTAGAGGCAAACGTCGACCTCTTTTTCCAAGTGAGCTCTGAGATTGTAATCTGGAATACGCCCTGTGTGGCTACCCTTGGGAACTATCGGTATTTACAGATATGCATAGTAGAAGACGTCGCACCCTACCGAACCGCACATGGACGTACATGAGTATGCATATCAGAGTACAGCCAATGACGCCCCCCTCGCAAGATTCACCCATGGTCGAGACAAATGAGTGTGCTCACAGTCGGAGTTTGTTTGGAATTTTCCACTCCACCGTATGTATGTACACAGACATATCCTGCATGTGAGTTATGCGGCACTTTGGACCGCAGATCTTGGACCCTGGTGCTCAATCTATTATAGCTACCTGTGGTCCTGCGCTGTATATAGAGGCTTAAGCGAAATGGTTTTCGCTGTTCTTATTCTTCATATGCATAGTATATGCAGAGCACAGAGCACAGAGCACAGAGCACAGAGCTCCCGCACCACACAACAATGAAGTCAAGGTTCTCCGGTGTCGGGGTCTCAAGAAGAAATTCGAACAAAGGGCAAACCGAGGGTAAAGCCCAGAGACCGCTACCGAATTGTACTGAGATAAAATGAGTTTCACACAAGCAGCAAGGAGTCTCATACCTTATTTCGTTGCCCAATAGCTCGTAGCTTTTCCTTGTCGATTCGTGCTGCGTTCTCGTGCAAGACCTCCACGATGGTGTGGACTGAGGCATTGAATTCTCGGATCTTGTCGACAAATACCCGGCATTCTTCTTCTAGTATCTCGGAGTGCTTGAATTGTTCTGGATCCAGAACACGAATGCGGCACTCATCGTCGAAGGATATCTGCACGCCGTTGTCTTCGTTCATCGCGTTCTCCTTGGTGTGGCCGAACACTAGACACCCAAAGCTTTAGGACTCTCCCACGCAATCGACAGTCCCACGCAATCGACAGTTTCATGCACCGATTCACTTAATCCCCTTTGCGCAGAGTGGATCTTCAATCAGAATCGAGAGACGTAGGGAAACTAAATACTAAGACGAGAGTACGTGTTGCGGCGGCTCTCTCTCCACTCTTCACACACATAGGACGGGAGACGAACAGCGATTGTAGTCAATCCTCGAAAGACGGGGATGGGAAACGGTTGCCCCCGGGTTTCGCACTCTGAAATTCTGGTTCTCTGCGAACCAGGCGACACCAGACTGCGAACCGCGAACCGCGAAACGTCGAACGTCGCACGCTTGTTGTATTGCTGTGTAGCTGTTGCTGGACTACTTTGGATGGTCCCGGGTCTCCCGTGCAGGCAGTGTGCCCATGAGTGCCCACGGTCGACGTCGATCCTCCGCCCTTGCGGCTCAAGTTTTGGAGGCGATCCGGGAAACAGACGAAGAAATTTTCGAGGAAATCTTGCATTATGATCTCGTCGCGCTGGGAGGAGGGGTGGCTGCTGGATATTGGGGAGAGGTGAGAGTGTTGAACACGATTGTGTAGTAAGTTGACAGGGGACGGCCACCTACTGTGTGTAACTGTTATACTGTGTCTTCCTCGCGACTATAGGTAAATACGTTAGTGCTCTACATTTTTTGCTACAGAGGCGCCCTCCGCTACTACAACTGTAGTCTACAAGTACGTCGTACATACCATTATTATTTACCGACATATTTTTTCGAAACGGGGGGGACGGGGATGCAGCATCCCCGGCTCAATAAGGTCTTAAAATAATATGAAAAATTCCGTAGTGTACGTATGGCCTTGGCGCTTTGAAAAAAAAAAGACCAATAGTCTAGAAAGAAGAACAGTGACAAATACATGTGTTGCCGGGGTTCAACTAGTGAAATCGAAAAACGCGTTGAGCGGGGATGGGCAGAAAAAATCCCCGCATTGTCGATTGAGCTCCAGGCCAGGCTGGTTTTTGGGGCGGGGAATACGAACCCGTTGTCAGATTTTTGGTACCTAGGCGCAGGGTTGCAGCTATCCAAAACACCCCTAACAACCCGAAATGTAGGTAAAATGAAAAAAAAATCCCTCCCCTTTTTCCTTGCTTGCACCGCACAGACCATCGCAGGGTCTCTTTCTGAGAACGTTACAGCTGCAATCGTGAGTGGAGACCCTGCTGGCTTTGCTCCGTTCGAAAGGTATCAGTTGTATCTTGTCCCGCCGCCCAACATTGCCCCCTTTTGTCACCCTCCCTTGGAAATGTAGAGAGTTCTCGTCATGGCCCTGGGCAAAAAGTGGGTGTTGCCCCCTTCGTTCGTGACATCGACACCCCCTCCCGGGGCATTCCGATATTTTTCGCACAGATCCCCGCCTCTTGGGTAGATCTGGTGTTTCCAGAATTAACAGTTTCTGGCAAAACAATTCTCCCCCGGGACCCAGTAAGAGGTATATTTAAGCAAGTGTAGAAACAGAAAATAGCGGGTAGACGTTTGCGCCAAAACTCTCGTGTCTCTGAGGACAAAGGGTTGTCTGGGTGATGACAATACTTTGCGGGCAACGACGTGTTGGTAGGGGACGAACTATTGGCGAGCCTTCCAACACCATACGCGTCCGCGGATTCGACACCATGCCCTTCTATACACAGGCCGGCACTGTCCAAGACATGCCTTAATCCGGGGGCGAAGGGTTCGCGAGATTTGTCCTGCAGCTCCTCCTCCGATTTCCCCTTCGTCTGCAAGGGGTCTGGCGGCGAGGCCCACGACCCGGAGTGGTACAAGACTAATGTGAGTACGGAAACGATGGAGCATCGGGGAGACCGTTGGCGCTCCTAGTTCTGCCTTTTATGATGGTTGCTGCTGGAACAGCTACGCGGCTATACGACTGGCGCTCTTCGCATAGGGAGACAAACAAAGAACTTCAACTTCGCCGTAAATTTGTACCACTTGTTTGGTGCTTGGTCTCATGTCGTGCCCATGCTCGGACCAGCGCAGGCGTGTCTCGCATGACGATCCTTGTCCTTGACCGCAGGGCATCACCATCTTGTCCAGGTGTCAGGCAGTTTCCGTTGATCTGGACCAAAAGTTTCTGAAAGTCAAGAGAGTCACCGCCAGCAACGGTCAACTCGTCTTCGGGGATACAATCAAGGAAAGTGTTAGTTCCAGGGCATCACACCGGGCTTCGCGATAGGTTCCGATTGTGCCAACGTAGATGACAGCTGTCTACTTCTTTTATTGTCCATTTGTGTACTTTGCCCTCCAATGGATGTGGTCAGTCATCTGCAGCATTGCGTGGTCCACACATTGTCTCTCAGGTTTCTCATCTATTGTATGCGGGCGGATTCGACGGAATATGTGCAACTGCTGTGTCCGATTGAATGTTGGCTTCGTTCGTTCACCTTTGCATGTACCGAGCATGGTCGTTTTTCATTTTTTTCTTGCCTGTGACAGCAAACACACGAAGGCATCTGTGACATCGTTGACCTATTTCTAACGCATTGGAACCTTGAAGGAATCGAACCCTCTCTAAGGATAGAAGCGAACAGATAGACGATCAAGAAGACACCGCCTTCCAACACCCTAAACTGCCGGTCCTGCAGGTGGTGTACGGGCGATTATTGATCGCTACTGGGGCAAGACCTCGAAAGATCGCTGACGAAATCAAGTCCCTGGGCAACATCTCCAAAGGCTTGCAGGTAGACCTCCATACCACGTGATGGTGGCTTCCGGCAGGTACCAGGTTAGGCGATGCCATTTGGTGTTTTTTCAACTCAAGTATTCGTTGTCAACCGCTGGCGGATTGCCTTCGCTTTAACAAAAAGGCAAGTCCGTCGTGAGTCAATGGTTCTGAAACACCCAACCCACCAGGGAAGTTGCTGCTGCACTCGCCATCCCGACGTCGATGGGTCCCCGCTGGCGTGTACTTTTCCTGACCGGTTCGGCTTTGGGTCGGTCCATTACTTACGCGACTTCGGAGATACCGTGAAGCTGGTCCATGCTATGGGCAGAGTTGAGGCGGACGGGCAGGTAGGCTGGATGATGCTGTTGTACGTGAACGATTCCATTCTGGTTTGAGTTTTGTCGGATAGGTAATGGAAGCTTAGGCGCCTTATCCTCCCTAACATGGGCCTGGTGTAACTCAACGTAGAAATCGAAGAACGCACCAGCAAAAAACATGGTGCGTCTGGCAAAACACTGCACAGCAGAGAGCAGCGGACTTGATGGCACTTTCCTGATTCTTATCAACTGTTAAGAGTACTTGATGGTGATGCAATGTTCTTGCTTATTACGACATGATGGCACACAGGACACCTGCAAGGAACCTGTGGTCTTGATCGGCGGTGGCTTCATATCGTGTGAAGTTGCTGCCGCCCTTGCAACACATTGCCCTGGCATGCAGCTGGTCATGGCAATGCCTGGGGAGGACGTTATGTCAAGTTCTGGATTCGGCAAAGAAGTGTGCCATTTCTACGAAAAACAGCTTGCGAGGGTAAGCACCAGGCGTTTTTGAGCTTGGAGACACTTCATGTACCTGCATTACCCATCTGACCACCGTGAGCTCGTTGGTTGGAGAGTTGCCGCTTCTTCCCTGTCCGCCAAAGTGGTCACTGCCCTCCCCCCCTCCACTATCCGTGGTTCTCAAAGGTTGGTGTTGCATTCGCCAAGGGCTATCGCGTCAACCGCCTCTGGGGCATTGAAGAAGAAGGGTGCTTTCCTACTTTGGAGCGGTCGCTGCAGGGGTCGTCCATGAAGAAAACGTTCCCGCGGACGTTCGGCCCGGCAGACCCGCACTTCACAGACTGTCGAGGGGTCGTGCTTTCGAACACACAGACTGGCGAGAAGGTGAGAGCTCGGGGCTTCTGAGGACGATCTCCGCATTCCCAGGACGGTCAAGGGTTAGAAGTGCAGCCTACGCAACAAGACGGGACGTGAGGTGTACTCTGCCTACGGTCTCGATAGTACGCATCAAGTACTAACGCCATAGCATGCGTGGTGTTCTTAAAGGTTAATGGTATTGATGGTGTGCAAGGAGGAGTGCAGAAAGCATCTGTCTGTTTGCGGAGAGGCTTCTACGCCAAGGTTGAATTGAAGGTGCAGCTGTGTGCATAGGTATACCCCAAATGACGTCCATCAACTGCTACACTCCGTTCGCCGACTCTATTTACTCCCAAAACGTAAGTTGACTCCAATTAGCTGGCACACACAACACCGACCGCAACTCAAGTTGTTCAACGTTCAGCTAACAAGCCATGCGTTTTTGTTTAATGCTTCGTGCTAGAGCCATCCAGCAAAACACTTCATGCGCTGCTGTAGCCCGCACGTGCCTCGTTCCGTGGTCGACATGAACCGCTGCCCCGAACAGGTCTGGCTGTCTGCACGCTTTGTCGTGGTAGGGATAGGGTCGGTCCCCAACTCCGACCTGTTTCTTAAGTCGCTCGTTTTGTCAGAGGATGGCGGCATCATCACCGACTCGTACTTGCGCACCAGCCATCCTTCCGGCGACGTGTTCGCCGCGGGAGACGTTGCTTGCGTTCCGGTACCTCTCGGGGGAAACGGCGACACAGGCTGCATGGCGATAGCCAATCGATCAGAGCACGTCAAGGCGGCGAGGAACATGGGGGCGTTTGTTGCTGGCATGATGCTGGGCGGTGACAATTCTGGCGAATCGTACAACCCTGTTCCACATATGTATTCAAGGTCGGGTCTCGCAACCGGTGGAGTTGATTTTTGCGATTAACGCGGCATGCTTGGTGGAAGCCTGGTGTTGCAACCGTGAAAGGCTTGGTTTTTGTAGGTGAAAAATATACATCAAAATGACAAAAGGAGACGTTCAAAACATAACTGCAACTTTTCTGTTTTTCGACATTGCACGCACGGGTGGTGCACAAATACTGTTCCCTACAGGCTGCCGAAATATGGATGGTACTGCTCCAACAAACATGTCAGGCTGGACTCGTCTGATATTGTACGTCACCTACTGTACAGGTTCTTGGACATATCATGGAAATTTTACGGTTTCGCGAGGGGAGAAGTGTGCGTGCTCGGCATGGAAACCTTCCCGATGACAAGGACATTCGGAGCTTTCTGGCTGCATGGCGGGAAGATTGTTGGTGCTTTTCTTGAGGTGGGGTTGATACGATGCGCTATGTATGCATCTATGCATACCAACAGGTGCTTGTCGTCCTGTTTTCCTCGAACTTTGACGTTCTATGCTATTTCCAGTTTGTTTTTCCCTTGGCTAGTGGTAGACCATCGCACGGCCAGTATGTCCCTGCTTTAAAGGGGTTGAGCCGTCGAAGAGCCTCGAGCAACGTGGCCCTGAGAAAAGCCAAACCAACACCCCCTCAGACTCTCGTGCTGACGTCACGAAAGCGCTTCGTGTAGAAATCACGACTTTATCGCCAGATTCCGTGGTTCGGGACCACAGTACACCACTCGAGATGTTGCCTGAACCGAGCAAACGACGAATGCGATACGAAGTGGAACTACCGACGTGTTTGTGCATTATATCGGGGCTAAGGCACGGCAAGAGGAAACAAAACCAAACACTTCACGTCATACGTGCAGGGTGACCTGACCTCCTCGCACCCCCTATAGTTGGCGATGTGTGGCCAGTACGTCGGGAGGTGTTCCTCGGAAGTCCTGGGCTGGCCCTCTCAACTCGTCAACGAAGAATATGTAGGACATCTGGAGTGTTCAAGTTCACGGTACGTCGTTACTTGATGCTTCGTCTCTATCGTGATTTCTTTTGCGCACAGGAAGACCCATCGTCTGGAGTGGACCACTCTGCGATACTGGAACGAATGGCAAGAGAGCGGCCCGCGGTGTTGAGCATAAAACGCCTGAGGAAGGTGAAAGAAATTGTGTTGATATACTCATGAGCATTGGGCATGCTTGGTATCGACATCCGATTCCTCCGGAGATGCACTGTACGGTAGGTGAGTGGGCATGCTGCGGGCTTCGTTTGAAGTAATTCATTTTAGAACATACAGTCGGTGTTGATCCGTCGGGCATGCAGACAAGTTGGCCAACCATTCAGACTACCTAGGTCGCAAGGAAAGTTGGACCTTCGGCAACACTAAAGAGCGTTGTCGAACGGTACGATATGATCTTGTCGGATGCGGGTTTCGCCCAGTACAGGCGCCTCAAACAGCTTCCTCGTATTGGTTCGAGTTTTACGCTGCATATTGCAAGCCGCGTTCTTGTGCAGGTGAACGACACACATTTAAAACCCCAGTCCCCTCTCAACGTTCACCTGTATGTACTTGCCACCCATACGACAACGTGACGCCCGTTCTAACATTTTTCTCGACGTAATACCGCATGCACCCACAGTGTCCTCTTGAAAACCTGTTGGATAATCCTCACTGCCTCGAGCCCCCGAAGCTGGGCGTTGGCGAGTTTCATGCAGATACGGACGAAACGAGCATCGAGGAGGCATTCCGCAAGCGTGCTGGAGGTGCCAGCACGGTGAGGCGCCACACGGGCGGGGGGGGGGGGGGGGGGCCCATTCCGTACTCAGCATTCTGACTAAAAGACGTGATGGATGCGAAGTCTTCGGTTTATTCGTTCAAGTATGACCGCTTCGGAAACGTGCTTTTGCCTCAGAACGCTCCTGTTGGTTGTAGTTTTGAGCTAACACATCAAACTGCGTGCTGCCGAAAACACAGGCCAAGACGGCAGACATGGCCTCCATCATGCAAGAACTTGGCGCAGACTGGGATGAAGACGAGCTGGAAGACGCCCTTAAAGCCTTGGACCCGTCAGACTCTGGTTCTGTGAACTTCTCAGACTTTGTGGAATGGTGGTCGAACTGAGACTGCCCGTGCCACAACATGGTGGCTACCCTCCGCTGTGCATGTGTGATTTCAACGAGGGTTTGATTTCGCGTGCAACGGTGGCGAACTGGGGTGATCATACAAGCTACGCCGGCAAAGTATAATTTTTTCTGTATTGCTGGCAAGTCCAATGTTGTTCGAGAAGGCTTGCCTCAAAACACTGGACGAACGAAAGAAACGCTGGAGATGGCCTGCTCTGTTAGAAATTGGCCCCACTTTCACCGAGATCCAACGGCGGAGCGGGCTGTATGGTAGACCGAGAACTGGACCGAATCCCGTGGGAGGGGAAGGCACAGGGCCCTTGAGGGGTTAGTGGGTGCTCTGTTTTGCAACGATTCGGCGAGGCCGCTGTTTATTGTGCGACGGCCCCAATATTTTACAAGTAGAAACCAGCATTTTTTCCCTCAGGCGCCCGTCCCGGTCATCCTGATGTTTGGCAATATTCCAACTCGAACGAGAGAACCCAGAGCCAGACGACAAGGTCATGTGACCGTATGTATGACTTTGGGAGAGAATGGTGCTCTTTACGACAGATAGAAGCAAGGGGTGGCATTAAACACGCTATTCGCCACGGAAGACTTGAAGGAGTTCGGTCGTCGAAATATTCTTGATCGAGCCCGCTGGTTGTTGTTGTTGTTGTTGCTGTCCTCACATTCAAAAACCGTTCCGGTCTCCGCTCCGGCATCGGGAAATATTGCTACTTCTCGTCACACAGACGTGGGAATGTTTTCACTTCTTGACAGCGCAACTGTGATGCCGTGAGAAGCGAGACAGAAGGGATGTATCGGGTACCCCTTACGTGTTGTCGTGTACTTCGTGGTAGTGTTGCTGCGAGAAAGGGGAGCGAAGGAAGGGTGCACAGTACACCCTTCGTGCCTTTCTGGCGCAACCCCAGCGAGTCTGCGTCATCTACGGGGTTCCAGCAGATCGCTGATAATCCGGTGTCGATACAAACCAACCAACCACATCGTGTCATGAGGAGCAGCAATGTGCGCTGATGCGATGGTAACAGCGAGTGACATGTGCCGGTTGAGGAAGAAACGTACGTTGCACAAGCTTTGTTATTCGTTGTGTACATCCCGTGGCACCACCGATCACTTCGATCGCACTCCACCCCCAAAGTCCCAGAACTACCCGACGTGACAAAAAAAAAACTCTAGCCCGCAGCACCACGGGGCACAACCGCCACGAAGGCGTTGCAAAATGCTCAGAAGGCGCGGGAATAAACCACTTCCTGACCCCTTAAACCAATATTGGTCATACTGTACGGAATATATACTGTGTCTGTATGGTACAGCCGGCAGCCTCTGGGGAAAACAAGCGCCAGCGAACACGTAAGTTGTGGTACTACTACAGGCGAGGGTCTACTCCTGCAACCCGGTCTGTTTTCTCTCTGTATTTCTAATAGCAATTTTATCCCATAGCGTCGTCGAGTTCTTCGTCTTCGTCGAACTCTCCCTCTTCTTCCGCCGTGGCGTCCTGATACTGCTGGTACTCTGACACGAGGTCGTTCATGTTGGACTCAGCCTCGGTAAACTCCATCTCGTCCATTCCTTCCCCGGTGTACCAGTGGAGGAACGCCTTCCGCCTGAACATCGATGTGAACTGCTCCGCCACGCGCTTCCACACCTCCTGGATAGCTGTGGTGTTGCCCACGAAAGTGGTGGACATCTTGAGTCCCTTGGGTGGGATGTCACATATGGAGGCCTTGACGTTGTTGGGGATCCATTCAACGAAGTACGACGAGTTCTTGTTTACAACGTTGAGCATCTGTTTGGCGGTTGTGCACGCAAGCACATTGCAAAAGTATGGGAGACAATGGGGCGGGCCGGCTGAGTAATGCGGTGGCGTGAAACGTTGTTGCAACAAGTTTTGTTCTACATAACAAGTACGCAGACCGTGGTTGATTCTTAGCATTGCTCGTTGCGTTGTTTATACTGAAGCAGCCCTTCGTCAAAGATGGAGTGAGCTTGTTATTCAAAGTACTGTTCTTGCACGCCGGCAAAGTTTCAATCACACTAAGTGGTACTAGTCACCGAAGCAACACAGCAAGGTTTTCTGCTTCTCCCTGAACGCAAATTGGACCTACATGCACAAAGAGCACCGCCATGAAGCGAGAATTGAACAGATGTCACACCGAAAACAGAATCGCACCGAAGGCAGCTGATGGATACGATTGTCTCACCTGCTCGTCCACCTCCTTGGTCGACATTCGGCCGCGGAACATCACGGCGCACGTCAAGTACCGACCGTGGCGTGGGTCGGCGGCACACATCATGTTCTTCGAGTCGAAGCACTGCTGGGTCAGCTCTGGCACCGTCAGCGCGCGGTACTGCTGGGATCCGCGGGATGTGAGTGGTGCAAAGCCAATCATGAAGAAGTGGAGGCGAGGGAACGGCACCATGTTGACCGCCAGCTTGCGCAGATCGCAGTTGAGCTGGCCGGGGAAGCGCAGCGAGCAGGTCGTGCCGCAGATGGCAGCCGACACGAGATGGTTCAAGTCGCCGTATGTAGGGGTGGTGAGCTTGAGCGTGCGGAAGCAGATGTCGTACAGCGCCTCATTGTCGAGGGTGAAGCACTGGTCGGCGTTCTCCACCAACTGGTGCACGGAAAGCGTGGCGTTGTAGGGCTCAACAACGGTGTCGGACACCTTGGGCGACGGGATGACCGAGTACGTGGACATGACACGGTCGGGGTACTCTTCGCGAACCTTGGAGATAAGCAGGGTACCCATCCCCGCGCCGGTACCGCCGCCCATCGAATGCGTCAGTTGAAAGCCCTGGAGCGCATCGCAAGACTCGGCCTCCTTTCGCACCACGTCCAGCACCGAGTCGATCAGCTCCGCGCCCTCGGTGTAGTGGCCCTTGGCCCAGTTGTTTCCTGCGCCAGTCTGCCCAAATACGAAGTTGTCGGGCCTGAAGAGCTGTCCAAAGGGGCCCGCGCGCACGGAGTCCATGGTCCCCGGTTCGAGGTCCATTAGGATGGCGCGCGGTACGTAGCGGCCGCCGGTTGCCTCATTAAAGTAGCAGTTGATGCGCTCCAGTTGTAGGTCGGAGTCACCGTGGTAAGAGCCGGTAGGGTCAATGCCGTGCTCGTCGGAGATGACCTCCCAGAATTTCGACCCGATCTGTACGAGAATGTCGGGAAAGAGTTGAAAATAAATGAAACGGCAATATGTTGAGATGCACGACACGCACAGCTTCAAGGACACCACCAATGTCAGTTCGTGAGCACGCGTCTGTGTCACAAGTTACTGAGGAGAAAAGCTCGAGGGAGAGCTTGGCACAAAGACTAGCCCAACATGGGGTGGGTTGAGAACAAGAGGAGAGAGAGAGCGAAAGGGAGAGACATGTAAGGGTCGAAGGGGACACAACCCGAGACGTGAAAAAAAACAAGAGCAAGCACACCAGTCTTGCTGAAGACACGTATCCAGAGCTGTGGACGTGGACTGAGGCTGGCGCCGCAGCGGCCACTACGGCGGGATAAATCTGCACAAGGTTGGTGCCAGTGTTGTGTTGGCGTAGCACCTGGGGCTAGAGGCCTCACCGACAGCCAGCTTCGCTACGCGCTTATTTCCTTGCGAGATTTCGGCAACACGCAGCAAAACAACAAATTTCTCGCTTCATCACGCCAACAGATCAACTCGATACCGTACTCGGTGGCATCCCGATCCGGCGACAACGCCACCCCGACTGACCATCTTTACAGATTTTTCTTATTGATCCTATGTTTGCGGTTGCGAGGGTGCGGGAAATGAGGCGGCGGCCTCGTGCCACTCGTGTGCCCATCCCCCTGACGTCCTGACCGACGCGATGCAGGTTTGACACATTTTACCCGCTCTGATTCAAGCGCACGCGCACGCTAACCCTGCGACAAACACGGTTTCAGAAAAAAGTAAGCGCATGCATGCGGATCCCCTCACCTGGTTACCGCATTGCCCTGTTGTTAATCAAGTCCCGGTGTCCAACAGAAGTGGTGGCGGCGGGATCGAGGGCAAAACGAGACAAGAACGGGAGCAGACGGGAAGACGTGAGGAAAACGAAAACGGAACTGGGGGGACCCACACTCGCGCACGAACACTGCACACCTCCGTTGTCATTGCGCCTACTGGCGAACACACCCACCCACCTGCTTGAACGTGGACGATTTCTCTCATGGTTACGTAGACAATGCGGTACGAGAGAGGGAGAGAGAGAGAGAAGATGCGGCGTGTGAGGCAGGGTAATGTGGGAGCAATCTGGAAAATGGAAGCGGCGCAATCCAATTTGGTCGTTTCACTTTTGGTTGGGGGTATGGTCGAAAAAATAGCGAGCTGGAGGGGGGNGGGGGGGGGGGGGGGGGGGGGGGGGTCGTTAGAGGGTGCACAAGCAGCGCACAGAGTAGAGTGCGCCGGCCCGCAGAGCCAGAACACAACGACGAAGACAGAGCTGGCCATTCCGGGGAGGGGTGTGGTTCGGCCATTCCCAGGTTCGACAGTCGCGAAGACGCCCACCCTTCGCTACCATGGTTGCGAAGGGAGACGTGATGGGCGCCTATTGCCTTGTGACATTTTTCGGTGCTTCCATCCTGTTCGGAGTGAAGCACCTGCTCCTCCGAGACGCTACCTTCAGCCGATTAAGCAAAGCCGCCGACTACGTCCCAGCTGTCGAGGTGCGTCCTATTCTTCTCCATAGAGTGTTCAATTTGTCTAGTGTGGTTTACGGTCGTATCCTCTCTGCCCAGCTTGGACTTCCAGGTGGCAGGTTGGCAATATCCGAATACCCGAATGACATGCGCCTGGTCCTGTCCTCGCTACTCTGTAGTCTCTCCGTCCGTGTAGCATTTCGGCTATGAAGGTTCGCGACTGTCAGCTGTGTGTGTTTTTTTTTTATTATTAGCATCGACCGCGCTGACCGGCTGACCAATTAAAAGACGTCAGTGCCAGCGGGTAAAAATGAAGGTCCCTGGAAGGAGGCCAAAATTCGAAAAATGCGCAATGCGCTTGATGCGAATGCCAATACGACTCTCTCTACATGTTCTTTCACGTAGACACACATCTCAGCTACACAAACGCCCTCGCTCGAATCTAGGAAGTCACTGATGCAAAGAGCGGAGGACAGCAAAAGGGTTATTCCAAGCCCAGCCGAAGCCAGGATATCGTGGTATGCTGCATCTCCCAATTTGATGATCGTACACTCCCAAGATCCAACAGTCATCGTGTCAGCAGCTAGGTGACTCAAACAAAATAGCAACACATACACTGCCATAGCTCCGCACATGCCCTCGTCCGAACCTAGCAAGCCACTAGGAAGTCACGAGGGAGCCAAGTCCTGCTCGCAGGTTCTCTTGGCTTTTTCCTTCAGGTGAACACGTCCAGGAATCCAGTATCCGCAGCCGCCGCAGTAGTACTGTACTGTGTAGACTACTAGTAGTAGCAGGAAATCCAGGTTGTACCCATCCTTTAGTCAAAGATTTGTGATTCCGTGAGAGGAGATACCACCGCCGTCGAAGGGTGGAAGGCACTGTCTGCCTGATGTAGGCTGTGAGATAGATGGAGCCACCTATGTGTTCTTAGCCTGCCCGCCCGTGAGGGTCATGACGAGGCCGACTATATAGGTGTGTGTGTTTGTGTGTGTGAACTCCCACACGAACAGAGGTAGCATCTGCACATGGTTGCTGTTTGAGTCATGTAATACCACTTGAACAGGCAGAGAGCAGGCAAAATGTGCACCGTTTCCCAACGATCACGTGGTACAAGACTTATTGCAGCAGCCGTGCAACGACTGCTGTAGGTGTAGACTACGCAATAGCTAATCCAACTGGGTAAAGGACCTCGGCAGCAGCAGTAGTCCCTGTACCAGGCCATATAGTGCCAAGGCTCTTGACCGGCCTTATTCCGGGCAATAATTGGAATAATAGGAGGCAATTTGAATATCACGCGACTTCACCGTACACGGGCGACTGGCCTCATGCTTGCTGCCATAGATCGGACGGGTTTGCGACACTTTTACCAGACCACGCAGACCAGTACGCCAAACCGCTGACTTCCTTTGTGTGTCCCTGCGCATGTGTTGTTGGTACACGCCCAGGGATCTCTTGACTTGCTTATATATACATAACAACAAATTCATCACATGCCATGTCACACCATTTGCACGCGGCTTGGACACATCCGTGGCCTGCGTTTTCCGTTTCGCAGATTGCTGCATGGGTCTTGACTTGGTATGGCGTGAGCGTCTCCATGGTCATGGCCAACCGCTGGCTGTTCTATGAGTGGCAAGGCGTGGGGTTTCCTTTTCCTGTGCTCACGACGATGGTTCACATGTGGTTGAAGGTTTTGGTGACGAGGGTGATGTATTGTTTCAAGGTGAGCCGTCAAGACTAGATGGCTGTGTAGCCTTCGTTGCGAAACGGCCTGGCATGCGTCATAGCACAGCGATGCTGTAGGTCATTCGTGTGCATCAGCACCGATTTCGGATGCATAGTCCTACTGATGTTACAAACTCGACTCGAGAATTATGTGCTGTTCCGCTCGTTTTCGCAAGTCAGCTCAGGAGTCCGCACGGCATGGTTGCTCGAAATATCATCAAGCCCTATCCCACTGCCGGTGTTGATGCTCGTGGTGTGAGTTTCGAGAAATTCAACTTCGGGCGTAGCGGTTGGTACCGTTGATCTCTGCTCGATGGCAGGTCGGATGGAGGTGCAAGTAATCGCACGTGATCCCACCTGTCCATCGTAGACATGTATTTTATGGGTTGTGGAGGGATGTGGCCAAAAGTGCAACTACATGGTCATCTCCTCTTCGCATCCCCACCAGCACCATGTTCTCATCTTGTAGTGTTGCGAGAAAGCAAACCCCTTAATTTGCAAGAAGAAGGGGAGAGACTCTATGGCACATTCTACTGTTTCGGCTGCGCGGATGTACAGCCAGATTTGTTGACCCCGGAACACGCGTGGGTAATCTATATGCTTGGGGCATTCGCGTGCTTTACGCCGAGGTACAGGGAGAGAAGCCGCCGCATCTGGACGTGTCTGTGAACCTGCGGACGGTTATCCCCATTGGGTTGGCGACGGCAGGAGACATCCTTCTGTCGAACCTTTCCTTCATGGTAGCGACGGTCGCCTTCTACACCATTGTCAAGTCTGGCTCGCTAATTTGGTGAGATATGAACTGCGAATACACATACTTCAGTGCAAGGTGTTGCGTGACACCACGCACCACGCAAAGAAGAGAGGCTTTTCAGTCGCCAGAAGTTCTCGAATCTCGACAGGGGGGACTTGTTTCGGCTACAGTCCCAAGCTCTCTGTTTGCTTGTCGGCATACATATGTTTGCACTGGTTCTTAACCGAAGTCGTTTCGAAATTGCTGCTGCTTTTGTGTAGTGTTGGCTGGTTGACGTCGCGTGATCGCTCCGCCCTTGTTTGCAGCCATATCAACCTCCGCGATTTCGCTTCAATTTCGACAATTTTTGTTCCCGGCAGGATTCTACTGTGGGCGGTAGTGTTCAGATTCGAAGCGTTGACGCCCAAGATGGTATCTGTGGTGCTCATAACTAGCGTGGGGCTATTTCTGGCGAGCTTGGGGGAGACAGATTTTTCCACCGAGGGGCTCCTGCTGATCCTGGGCGCTTCCTGCTTGTCAGGGCTAAGGTGACCAAAGTGGTACGGTAGTGCACTCATCCACCCGCGGGCGCTGTTGCTGGCTGCTGGGGCTATCCTGCGGCACATATTGATAGTTGGCTGGAGCTTTCCTGGGATTACTTGTGCACTAGCAAGGTGTTTTGCTTGACGTTCGGGACAGAGGCCTGTTGACGGGTGTGCCTTTCTTTGTTTTTCAGATACATTCGCATCAAGTTGGAGGCATCGCGGGCTGCCGCCGTTCCTAGAGTTAATATTCCGGTTGCACTTCTTACTTGCTGATGAGGCCAACCGACGTCGGAAAAACTATGTCGTTGAAGTTGACCATGTGCTTGTATGCAACGGTGTCAGCATCGAATGCGTGCCTCTCACCCGAATAGCCTGTCCTACCTACTGCTGTACCACCTCCTGCTGTATGCTCGCTGATCAGGTGGGGTTTACTGCAACTCCTCCAAGCCATAGAGCCGAGTTGTCACGACCCTTTGTTGGTCATCTACCACATCGCTCCATCGAGCGCGATAGCGATGACGCCGATGGCTTTGCTGGATATACTGGATGAAAACCTGAAGGGTGCGGCCGTGACTCCCGGGTCGATTGCACAGGTGGCGGTGGTGATCCTCGGGACCGGGTTGTTTTCGTTCGCGCTTATTTTCGCGGAGGTGAGTCGATTGCGCTTGCTTCCGTCGTGAAATGATCCTGTGATGTAGGGCAAGGCAAGTCAGTGTTGGGGAGCGCACGCTCCAGAGAGCAAGTGAATGATGAGTGCATTTCCTTGTTCGATTCGGCTTTGTTGGGCTCTTTTCGAAACGCATGGCCGTATGGAGCGGCGGGCAAGCGTGCTCACATGGTGTTCGATGCTTGGACATCATCTCTCGAGAAGAGGAAAATGTTCAAGACGTTTTGATATTTTTTTTTGTGCCCTTGGTTCCGTTTGCGTCGCATCATCAGTCAGAGACGAACGGAAATTTTTTTGTCGCCCGGTCTGCTCCTCTCCCAGTAGCCACCATGTTACTTGTATCCCATGACCCAGGCACAAAGTGGGGACGAAAGTAACACCGCTCCTGACGTCGCTCCTGTCGCTTCCTCCTACCCGTCTTCCGCCTTTTGTCTCTATTTCTCAAGGTGAAACTGCTAGCGATCACGAGTAGCTTGACGATGGGCGTGTTCGGAACGGTAAAGGAGATTGTGCAGGTGAGCTCGTTTGGCCGTTCGCGCGTGGTAGCGTTCCACAAGAGACTGGGAGAGGCCAAGTTGACCGGGTTTTCAACGTGATGAGACGCCTTTGGTGTCCTGTTTCACTGCTTGTACGCTGATTGTTCGCGGTGCTCGTGGGCCAAATTGTCGAATTCTCCATGGCTTGCCGACGTGCTCAATTGTCTTAAGCATTCGATCCCCTCCGAGTGCCCTCATAATAACTAACACACGCTCGTTGCCCCGAATCCTACCCGTTCTGAGTTGGAGACGTTTGACACTCCGATGGGAAATGACGATGTACGCGCAACGACACGGTGAAACGCAAGGCTGTTTGTGGCTCACTCTCTACCAACAACCCGCTGTGCAACGACAACAGATAGTCCTCGCGGTGCTGGTGTTTAACGAACAAGTTACGTGGTTCAATTTGGTGGGGCTCGGTTGGGCGATTGTTGGGAGCATGCTGTACAAGATTTCTCGTGCGAAGCCAAGTGCCCGCAACGGGGAAGGCGGGGGCGTCAAGGACGCGAGGTGAGTCGCCACCGACCGGTACTGCACTACCTTGGTGCTTGGTTCCAGCGTATCATCCGTAGGTTTCGTGAACCAAGCTTTCATGCGTGTGTGCTTATTTTTGGCATCAACCGCGCTTACAATCGGCTGACCAATGACAATTCACCAGTCTAATGGGGGTAAACAACGGAAGACACTTGCTAAAGGCCATGAACTAGGGCCCCATTAAGGGTGTGTGATTGTGGGTTTTCGTTGTGACGTGCAACCATCACGTAATACTGCAAGAAACCAAGATCGGAGTGTTGCTGTCTTGTTTCTCGTCGACCCTTCGACGTGTTGTGGAAACCAACTGTCCATCACCCATCCGTGTCAACAGTTTCTCGGGGATGCTTACACAAGCGTCGTGCTGTGTGGTTGGTTATAAATCGAGGAAGGGCGTGCTGCCCAAGCGGTCGCCCCTCCCCCCCCTTTCGAATTTTCGTATACTTCCGCACTTCGGATGCAACGGCGCAAGCACGGACGTTCTGATTGCGACGTCGGCCGAGTTGATTGAGCCTCGAATTTACTAGACCAGGTGCCGTGAGAGTTTCGACCTTACGCTGACGTACGTTACAGGCCGCCCGGCTAGGTGTTTCCGTTGATCAATCTACAACATCCAAGGGCTTCAAAACTGATGATGCAGTAAACTTGTATCCAGTCGTTCTTCTCTCGACATTGGCGACGGATGGTGATATTTTTGTCGTTACCTTGCAGGCGGCCGGCGCACAATGCACAAGGGGACGAAAAGGCCAACGCGGGAGTTAACATGCCTTATTCGGCGGTTTCGCAGCAAGAGGTAAGCAGTCAGACACACACTAGGCGTGACTGATAGAGACAGAGAGCCGTGAGCGCACTAGCGGTTGTCGTTGCCGTTGTTGGCTCCGCAATTCAACAACCTGTGTCTTCTCTGTGCCGTACTCTCGCTTCTATATTTGGGATTGGTGGAGAAGCGAGCCTCGTCGTCGCCGGCCATCTAGCCTAGCAGTCAAGGTTCATGCAAGGCGAAGCGTCCAACAGAAGTCTTGCCGCTCGCGAGAAGAAGACTATTATTGGCTCGCAGTTTTTGTACTTAGTTGACAAGGCCACCCACGAGTGCCGCGTGTTGTCACGATCGATGATGGGTGAGGAGTTTAGGCGGGACCTTTTAAAGGTGGCGTGTCAGGCAAATGGCACCGGTGTCGTACCACTTGAAACGAAAATACGTGCCACGCTCTGGAATTTTATGTACGAACGGGGGTGTCTTCTGTGTTTCGTCGAACACACGAGATGGTTGGGGGAGGAAAGCCCCACAATGCCGATTGAACGGCAACTGGAAGAACAAGCCATGGGTTCTCGCCACAGACGAATGTATGGAGCACCTCGAGCAGATATACCCCATACGTCCAACACGACCCCTAAGCAATATCGTTATGGACGGCACGGTGCAGTCACGATGCAGTCTACAACGATGTTGTTTCGGGTCCTGTTGGAGTTATGGGGTGTATCTGCTTTCAATAGAGGTGCTCCGTACATTCCTTGTGGCGAAAACGCATGGCTTGTTCTTCCAGTTGCCGTTCAATCGGCCATGTACTTGCACGTGGTAGCGTCAAGTGTCAATGATGTTCCCTTTGTGGAAACCACGTCGTACCCGTTCATCAACGCGTTTCCCATCGTGACTATGAGCGCGCGCCTAGGTGAGCACTGCTGTTGCACGTGCTTTATTTGTATTAGGTCTTTTTGGACGCACAGTCCCGTCATTTCCACTGAGGACATTTTTCGATGAACTTGTTGGAGGCTCGTGAACCAAGGTTTGGCTGCAAGGACGATCTACAATACTTGTATACCAAGGTCGTCTCAGCTACGCTGCTGGTAGTTTTCTTGTTTGTTCCTCGGGTCCCGTTCGCTGGAGGTTTACTGTACCGTGTGGGAGCGGGTGGGCGGGCGGCGCGCCGCCGGATTGTCGCTACGACCGTTTCGCGTGCTTGCACGCAGCTTCTCATACAGTAGGGGGCCCTCTATAGTGCCGGTATGTGTTCAGAGAGCAAAGCGGCACTATACCGGGCACCGGCACTATTCAGAGTACAGAACTACTTGATATTCCGGTGTGTGCGAGCCGAAAACACCGGCACTATACCGGCAACCGGCACTATATCGGGCCACCCACTGTATTTGCAACTGACCGCTGCGTATGTAATTCCTTGCATAATGCTTCTACATTCCAACCCAACAGGTGGACGAAGAACTCCGAGTGTTCAAGTACGAAAACACGGAATGGGAATTGGAAGGAGAGTTGGAGGAGTTCAGCTCGTTTGACGGTGGCGGGAGATGACGCCACGAGCAGCGACATGTCCACTTTGTTGGTGCCCACGTCGCTTTTCCGCGGCGTTAGACGTCACCCGCCTGCCGCACGTCGGGGATTCTTCATGGGACCCGTGGGACAGGACTCTGAGCGCCGTGACAATACGTTGATGGAAATAGCAAAACGGCAGTCCGTGGCTGCGGTGTCTAGACTAAAGGAGTCTGGGCGTGTTTGTTTTTGGTGCGGAGCTGCTCCTTTGTCAGGGTAATATGCGGTCGTTCTCCGGGCAAAGGTTCCACCTCGCTGTGTGTCAACGCCCCTTCTTCCATTTTTTGTCTGCTCTTCGCGTTGTTTTTTTTTGCGTTTTGGTGGTGTCTCTGCTCAACTCATTCTGTTGACAAGGTCCCCCGTTAGTGCAGCATGGACGCAAGGAATGAGGACCCTTCTTTTTCGGGATCCGGTGCCATTCGGGGTGGGGAGTGCATAAGGCTTCAGTCGATGGTCGCCATATCCCGTTCCAGGGGGCTTTGGCCGCAATATAGCGGTACCCGTACTCTTTCGAGACCGCGCTAGTTACTGAGAGGACCTGACCGTTGACCGGTGGTACTTCATTCATACCGTGATGCGTTGCAAAATTGAGGGCGCTTTCCTCGGAAGGTTTTGTATTGATGTTGTTGTTCGTGGTGCCTCGTGGGGAGGCTGTGCTTCTTTTGTAGAGTTAGGTGTAACTGGATACTTTCTGTTAAGGTGGGTGTTTGTTGTCGTATTCACCTAGCGAGATGCCCGGGCGAAATTATCGCTAGTGTTGGACTACATTATTGTTTCTGCTGTCGTGTCGCTTGTTTGCTCTCGGCGGGGTGATCCGTTTTCACGGCTTGATTTAATAGCAAGACTGGCGAAAGATAAGAGCAGCATGTTCATTCCTTTCTTGGGTCGCCTTGTCTGAATGGAGGTCATTCAGTCGAAGAGATTCCCTGTGTCTTTTGTCGTCGCGTCGTGCTTTGCACTTGTGCGGATGGGGTGCTGAGGTCAGGGATTCTTGAGGGCGCGCGGCGTGCCATTACGTCGAGAGGCAAAAGATTCGGCAGGTTCCTTGGACAACAGGACCAGCGTTGGAAACTCCGACAACACACACATACCCGCGGCACGTAAGACTGCAACACGCTTGTTTTTTTAGCCAACGCGCGGGAGACTTTCATGGATAATATGTCCTTCGTGCAGCGACAAGCCTCGATTTTCCAGAGAAACGGCCACAGCAGTAGTTTGCCGCCGAAAGAGCAACAGATTTTCCCCATGGCTCCTATTCACATGCGTGTCCGGCAGCAGTTTCATGACAACCAGTGCCATCTGGACGAATAGAAACTTATCCCGAAGAAAAATCTTCTTCCACCCCTTCCTTTCAAGAACCCTTCACAAATCATGGGCAATTGCTATACCTCTACGCTACAGTCGCGCTCTCTCAGCTCGGGAGGTTCGGTCAAGAAGTCACTCAAGCATTCCTATGCGCTTCATGCCTCATACTCAACGAAAAGGGTTCCACAGATGTACTGTTCAAGGGTGCTAACGTACATTTCACAGAGTGGAAGATCGTTCGCGGCACTCGAATCACGACCACGTGGTTTACAAGATCTGCTAGGGGTATACTACGGCTGATACCCTTGTACCCGTGTGTAATATTTCTTTGTCGCTACGGCGGCTTTGACGAGTTCTGTTTCCGCATCATCAGCCACCAGCTATGAGCGCACGGGATTGGGCGGGAATCAGTAACCATCAACATCTGCACAGCAGTGAGATCATCCACGACTCGTGGTTTGAAGCCAAACCGTTCAAAGGTGATGTGCATAGTCGCCGCAGTAAATCGACACCCAAGCTGGTCAAGTACCACAGCATTGCTGTTTTCAGAATAAGAATATTTCCGATCTCCGCCCAGTACCCTCCAGCATACGTACTGATTCAACTGATGGAGACCCCTCCCGTAATCACAGGCCGAACTTGGTATGTCCGTCAAAATTCATCCCACACACTTGCTTTCCTTGGATTTTAGAGCCCACTCACTCTACGCAAGATTCACGGTGGAGACACATCGTGCTTCACGCATACTTTGAGCGGGGTAGGTGCTCTCTCGTTGCGCTCACGTACCCGTTTTGTGTGACTATGGCTTCGGGGTTCACAAGAGAGGATCCTACCTCGCGAATAGGTTACCCCGACGAAAAAAAAGGTCCCCCTTCCGCGGGGCCCCTGTGCTTTATAATGGAATTAGACTACCCTCCGAACATGTCCACAAAACTATGAAAAAGTAGGTAGGTGTGGAACATTGATATTACGCACCTATGAAGTACAGAATCCAAAAAGAGCACCTCGAACAGCCAAAGGGAAAATAGATACAACGGGTCGTTAAAAACCAACGCAGCGTACATCGCCGAAGAAAACGAAATCGCCAGAGTACACACAAGGGTACAAGACCCCCTTCGACTGTGGCGATACCTCGAACGGGTAGAATCTTTCTTTGATTGTATATTTCCTGCAGATGAATTGCAAAAATTGTTCGCCTTCCTCGCGGCGACCAAACTGCCTGGCCTTTCCAGTATTTGCCGATAGACCTACTCCGGTTGTACCGGTCGCCCCGGTGGTCTAGTGGTATCCTCGTAATCCGCTAGTCGCAGAGGTCGTAAGTTTGAATCCCCATGGGGTGAACAATTTACGAAATGTGCGGGTGAAAGCGAAATATGGCTGAAAAGCTCTCGTGAGTACCAAACTTCGACGTTAGCACCGTTGACGAGGGAAATGGACGGCTGGACCCTTCACGCGATAAAAATAAAAGTCAGCACGCACCGCAGGAGGAAGGTGGGGCATGAGACGAAATAAAAAGAAGAAGAAAGCCCTGGTGTTTACCCCCTCCTGTGTGACCCTGGATGGTTGTAGTTGTACGAAAAAATACACTGAAAAGTGTAGTACTCTGCATACGCTGAAAAGTGTAGTACACGTCTCACCACGAAAAATGGGGGAACTGTCGCCATTATAAATAGGACGAAAACACACACACACACACTACTGCCAAAAACAGCTCTGCACGACCCGTCGACCCCAAACTCCGATCTCGAGAGACAAAAATTGCTAGAGCATCATACCCTTAATCAACAGTACAAAGGAGTACAAACCATGTGTGGCTCAAGTTTGTTTAGCCCTGCAAAACATCCAACCTTTCGGCGTCCAAAAAATCGACCGCCGCAACCCCGGCATTCTCCTTGTGCAAAATATATAGCGCCAGTAGACACTCGGCCTGGTTCATTTGAGCCAAGGGGTCGTTCTCTACGTTTTTGCTCATGCCATAGTCTGAAAACATGCCGTACTTAGCGATCGACGGAGTTCTGGGCGGGCGTGACCCCCAACCCAATTTAGCCATTGGGGAAGGTAGATGCGCCAACAGGTTTAAGTGCCGAGTCAGTCGTCCGCGTCGCGATGATGCCAACAAGCGAGCCATAAATGAAGGGACACACAGCGCGTGTTCGTGGGGGATTGAGGGTGAGGAGTTCAGCGGAGGCAGGCAGCTTTCCGGAAATTGTGAAGGGGGCTGGTCGGGCATAGAATGAGGGGCGAGAACAAAGCTGCATGGCTGCAAGCAGACTCAAATGCTTATGCATGCATACGGGGAACTATTGAATGGGGCCAAGAGCGCACCTCCATGTCCTTCTCGTGACCACGGGTTTGCAATCACTTGACCTGTGAGCGATTCTCCGTAAAGGATACAGCCGAAGACCTTCATACTCCGGAGTCCACAACAGGCCAATTTCATTTGATTGTCCCACATGGTGAGCGAACCACACACAACTGCTACACTTATCCTGAAGCTTTTGTAATGTAGGTGCACCTGTCGCAGCAAGTCCCAATTCGAGGTCACTCCGTATGCGTATATTTAGCGAAAAAATCCCTCGGACTCTCACCGTTCCACTGCAGTGGCGAGCATAAAACGAAGCTCGGTCAAATGGCTTGCCACGCCGCACACCCTGCTGGTGACGGCCCTTTCCTCCTCCTCAGTGAATTCCCAGTCACTGCGCCGTTCCAGTGCAGCGGCGGCCGCCCCGGTGGCCTCTGTATCCTGGTTGGTCATGAGCAAGGAGTGGAGAGGTGTGGTGCTCATGGGCAAAACCACAAAACCATTACGGTACAGCAGTGGTTGCAGCCTGATATAGTTGTTGAGTGAGCAGGTGGTCTGTTGAGTGGCGGGGCTCCCACGCGGGTACCATGTGCGTGCAGGTGTGGGGGGAGACAAGGGACGGAGGAGGTGGAGGTTCCGCCACTTGATGGTTTGGATCGTCGTTCGTGACGCGAGAACACCCAGCAGTAGCCGCTACAATATTGAGGATGACGACCTCAATAGCGTACTCAATAGCGGCATATTGCCGCTCAATCGGGTTGCAACGGCGAACAGCGATTATTGCACGTCCATGACCGGCAGCTCCGCTCTTCAGGTTGCGCTATCGGAATACAAACTGCAGCAGTACCCGTGTGGTACACGGCTTGAACTTTTCTGTACGCGAGTTGCCTGCTGTCTGCTTTAGTGCAGAGCTGCCCGGAGTAATGCAGGCCGCACAGAACCAGACCAACCATCGCGCACGCATATAAAGTCCATCGACATGATCCGTTGAAATGGCCTTGCGCCTGCATGCATGCACTGATCGCGTGGGAAACGCGTTGAACCACGATCGCGCCCCCCGGGGGGAATGGCCGTTGCAGAAGATCAGATCGCCACCACCAACGCCGGGTACAGGTTCAGCAGTAGCGGACTTTGAACAAGCGTAGTTCTTATGGATCGCGCACAGTGCAGTCATACCTCCTCACCGGTCTAAACAGCACCGACACCAAGGCGTTGATGACCAACGGAGACATGGACGCCCTCGTTGGACGAAAAGGGTCCATCTCGGCGGCCGCAGCACCAGCACCAGCACCAGCACCAGCGGCGGCAGCACTGTCAACTGCAACTTCAACGCCTTCGCCTCCTGCACCCTCGCCGCAACATGGAACTGATATTGGCCGTCGTCGTGTGCCTGCTGTCGGCGTTGTTGCCTGCTGTGTTGGCGACCCTGGTCCAGCTATGGTGGTCGACGGGCGTGCTGAACTAGCGACCTGCTGTCCCCGAGAAGGGAATCGCGTCGGCACGGGAATAAAGGCGGTGCAGGCCACACATAAGCACGCGAGCAAGGGGACGGTACCCCGAAAAAATAGACCCAGGTGAAGCATGGTGGCGGAGAGGAGAGCGTGGTGTATGGTAGCGTGTAGTGCTGCAGCTACACTGCACTGGGCCAATGCAATGGGGATGTTTGCACAACGCCGGCCCAGGGATGCTCCAGCCGGCATGAATATGTAAGGCTCCGTGAGTAACTCCGCGTTTCACGTACCCACAGAATACCAACCGCGTCCCCCCAGGCGAGGGTAGAGACAAGAGACAAGGGAGACAGCCAGCGCCACCGCCAGAGCACAGGTGGGGAGAAGACAGCCACGGACATCGCCAGCATAAAATTACGTGTCACGGCGGACTCGCTATGAACCAGCATTAAACCTTGTACTTCCGTGTCCAAGCGCTAGATTCGCAGGAGCACCTCGACCACCGAGATCAGCACACATCGAAAAGTAAGACTCAAGAGCCAGCAGTGTTCCACTTGTGTCACTCATGCGGACGCTTGTCGACCTTTGACCCTAGTGTGCATGTCCAGCTTCGGGTGCAACAGTTCGTCAACGCGATACAAAAATTGCAGGGCGCACTTCCCTTCTCGTCTTGCATCTGCAGCTGTGTCGTCACGGGCACCGAGCGCCATACTCCTCCATCGATGGCGAAGGTCGAAGCAGCACTGCTGCGGCACTTCCGTTACCGTTGCAAAGCAGTTGACACACGGGTGCTATTATATAATAGCAATTGCAACATGGCAGGCTGTAGTCGATTTTGGAACGGCACATATGGCAGGATGCACGACGAGGCCCGCTATACTCCTCGGCCATGTCGTCGGACCCCCCTTATTGCTGTATTATTGCAACCTGCATCAGATCGCTGGTTTTGTCAACGAAAGCACGCATGTACCTGTGTAGCACCGAAACCGGGCCCCAAGTTATTTGTATTGTACGTGGCCTGAAACGTGACAACACTTTGACCTCACGGTCGACAAGGGAACGAGATGGCTGAACCCTTCTCGCGATAATAACTAAGGCAAGCAGTGCAGGAGGAAATCTGAGGCCTGAAAGCAAAATCTGTTCGACTTTGCCCCGCTGTAAGAGCCCGGTTGATAGTCCGAAATGAACACGGAAAGATTTGTGAACGTGTGAACTACTGGGTGTACTGACCCCGAAGAAGACGGGACGAAGAACCACACGCACAACAGTTGGGGTCGGAGGCTCGATTTCTTTTTATTTTGAAAGCAAGCCGACGAATATCGTCGGGGTTGGCTAGTCTAGAGCTGCTTGTTGATTTTTGCACTGCTTTGCGTCAGGTTTGAGATGGAAACGGGGAGGAACCCTTTACTTAATGTACGCAAAACGTTAGGGCGAGAAAGGTATCACCATAATTCTATTCAGCAGCGGCATCAGGATAGACGCGAAAAGCACGAGCACAGGGCGAGGGCTGTGAAAATGACAGCGGTAGTGCCCACGAAAAGGGGTCAAAACCTCCAGCACCTGAGCCTCTTACGTACTCGGAACAAATATCAGTCAACGCACTTCTGAAAGAAAGTGAAACCACCCCGACAAATCAATCAGCTAAGGTGTCCAGGCGAGCATGTTCGAAAGACTGATACGCCTGGCTTTGGAACACAAAGAGACACCGACCTGCCACACTTGCACGTACGCAACCCACCTCCTCAAGAAGATGTACGGAAGATGCACATGCTCCTTCTAACGAAAAATGAAAAATCGCGAGGCGGCGTAGTTTGGACATCAGCTTTCTCTTGGTCCGTCCTTCGCTACATCACCACAGTTTCTACATATACTCCCGCTGAGAAAATGAACAACGGCACCAATAACGCCGCGTCTGAAGAACTAAAAGCCTTTTGTACGCATAAACTACCCATAATGAGAGGTCGTGAAGTTACCTCTCTGCGAGGTTCGCAGCGTGGGCTGAGATCCGCTTTTGAGACCCTGTCGATGAAGGGGAGGGCTATGCGAACGAAACGTACAGCAACAAGACGAGATGGGCGAGTAGATACCCAACCTTTCCGGATGGAGAGTTTGTAGCTACCCGTCGAGCACAGGTTATTTAAGCCAGTAGAGTTTAGTGTAGGATCCATCACTGCTGTGCCGTCTTTCCTGACCCTGTGTTGTTATTTTCGTGACCGACTTGAGCCTCCGTACCGGAACATATCCAACCACCCCACAACGACCCCGTTTCGGGGTTTCGGGGGACTACACAGACACCCTCATCAACACCTCTCTAGACAAGCCCACCGACCCTTGGCGTACTCGAAGATGATCGATGATCTTGTCCATGACGTACGAAGGGATGCTCCCGGCGTCCATGCTGGTAATGGTCATGGAAAAGTCGGTGGGTTTGCCTAGAGGTGTTGATGAGGTTGTCTGTGTAGCCCCCCGAAACCCCGAAACGGGGTCGTCGTGGGGTGGTTAGTTTTGCTCATTATTTGGTTTTGGCAGGGCATACATTTCTACTTAGGTTTCGGGTGTTGCTTGTTTCTGTTTTGGGTATTTTTTAGTTTCTAGGTTTGGGAACGCAATATCTTAGTTCCGTACCCGTTCTGTAGCATGGACCCCCGTCATCCTGACGCGCCCCTCCCTTGTCAACATATGATGCACAAACCTAACAGTGGCAAAGAAGTCCAAGAAGCGGCCGAACCGCAACAGCAAGAGTAGCGGGCCGGCCAACAGGGCCAAGCAGGTCCAGCTACTCCAGAAACAGCAACAGCAGCAACAGCAACAGCAGCAGCAGCAAGAGTCACCGCCACCAGCGCTGGGACCAAAGGCAGGGCGGGGCAAGTACGCCAAGTCGAAGCCATCGCAAGCTCCTCCCGGCTCCGGTCTCAATCGTGGCGGCGTTGCGGTGAGTGGCCACGCCCCAACCGGGTCAGGCCCGCCTGGGCACCCATGGGACCGGAACCGGCAGCTTCCAACCCGAGGACTGCTCAACCTGGGCAACACGTGCTTCTTCAACTCGGCGCTGCAGAACATCTTCAAGGCGAGGCTGCTGCATGAGTCTCTGTTCGGGGATAGCTCGGGGCGGAGGCAGGGCGAGTACGTGGGCCCGTTGACGAAGGCCTTCCGGAAGGTGCTGCTGGAGATGGCGGGAGAAGGCCCTGTAGGGGGCAGGCGAGGGTGAGTCCGGATGAAGGCTACGGGGGGAGCGTACTCTTATGTTTTGCATGCCTTAGCGGTGAGACCATTGACCACGCGTCCTCGAGAGGACGGAGCATGGTTGCCACAGGACCGATCACCGACGGCCAATCGTTCCTTCCTACTTTGCCAAAGGTGGCTCAACAATGTCTTACCTAGTCTGTCTATGCTAACGATATCCCTTCCCGCCTTTTCAAAACACTTCCTACTCCCCAGTACAGGGGGGGGGGGGGGG